AAAGATGACCCCTGTTTTGTCTAATCTCTAATCTCAGCAAGCACAGTTGAGCCTTGTAAGTCTCTTGGCCTTGTAGTTTGGCCACTGGATGAGCTGGCTGCTCAGGCCTTCTTTAATTAGCCTGCCTGTGGTGCCCCACCTGTGCATCCCGGTGCATTCAAGTTAAGTAGCTTTTTGTCTTTGTTCATAACAGCACAGATCATTTTTACATCAAGAGTAAGTGGACCTCCCAGGTGGGCAGGCGTGGCATCTGAAGATGAGATGAGTGTAGGTGATGAGTGGCCAGAATAAGTTCTGGTGAGTTAGACAGGCAAGAGGTGGTAATGTTCTCTGACCAGGACAGGGTGGTAAGGGCAGCCAGACAGCAGAAGGCTCCACTGGGGGGACCTTGGTAACAGGACACAGGCAATGACTAACTGGACTCTCCAGAGCTGGGGGTGGAGAGGCAAGCTGGCATGATATCAGGTGGACACACAGAGGGCTAGCAACAGAAGGACTGGTGGCTGGAACCTGCCCAACTGGCTGGGAGTACAGCCAGAAGCAGAAGGGGGAAGACTGGCTGATATGGTGATACATTTGCCAAGGCAGACTCCTCAGGAAGAATAATGGCCTTTGTTCAGGCAGTTCAGCTTAATAAGAGAGCCTATTTGATTTCATTTTAACTTTATTATCAGCGGAAAAAGTCTTTACTTTTTAGAGAATTTTTAAAGATATATTCCAGAATTATAAGCTTTGACTAATTAGATCTCATCCTATTTCTCTGCAGTATATGTAATGTGCCACAGAACAGAATTATAAGCTTTGACTAATTAGATCTCATCCTGTTTCTCTGCAGTATATGTAATGTGCCACAGAACAGAGGCACAACACAGAAATGCTTTAAACTCCCCCAGTGGGGAGATTTTACTGTGGAACACAGACGGAACGACCTATTGTATATGATGTCCAATCCAAACATTCACACAATCATTCAGCAGGCACTCAGAGGTTAATACATTCCCATCCCCAAATCCTGGGGTGAAGTCTAACTGAATCTGAAACAGAAGCTGACTATTCTGACTAACAGGCTACTAGCACAGGCTTCGAGGTTGATCAAGGCCTCACTTCACCCGTAAAGGGGATGGAACTAACAAGCTAAAACTGACAGGCTAACAGAGGGACATCCTCAGGGCTGTCCAGCCTTATCTGAGGGCCTGACCTGCATTTCGTATCCTCTTAGGATATGCTGTTACACAAGGGCTCCCACTCTTGGACCACTAAGGAGATGCTAAGAAAAGGACCAGAGGGCATGTCTTCTTGGCTGCAGTTTAGAGGGTGAGTTCCTGTCATAGTCAGCAGGCCTCTACTACTAGTGGCCCAAATGGTTCAGTACAGTGTCTTCCTAGCCAATACACCAGGAAATGTGGAAAAAACAGGACCAAATCAGATGGAAGACACAGAGGCACTAAAGAGATGGAAGGCAACTCTTTATTATGCTAGCAGGCTGGGGAAAGCTGAGCTCTAAATCACCAGCCCCATCTTAGCGTTAAACAGACATTTATAATTTTTAAGCAGGAACTACAAAAGGCTGAGAGTGGGGTTTTTTGTAATTGGTTACACAGGCTGGGTCATCTGTTGTCAGGCAGACTAGTTCTGGGCTCAAGGGGGCTTCTTAAGGTCAGGGACTTGGGTGAGCAGGAAGAATCGATCATTGTCTTTTAACTGAGCCGGTCTGTCCTTGAAGCAAGTTAGCACAATAAGATGTACTAGTTGAGTTATGTCTATCTTACAAGTTGCAATTGGCATTGGAATCTTAAGACTGCCTGAGTCTTAAATGAGCCAGGGCTGCCTTTCCTGCTCTTAATATACCATCAGGTTTTAAGTTTTAAAATTTCCTTTACAACTTCAAGGGGTGTCTTGAAATAGGAAGACTGATCAGAATTATCTCGCGCACTCACTGTAACCACAGGGGCTGAGGAGTAGAGGGCAAAGGGCCCAGGTGAGAGAAACAAGGAGGTAACCACAGAAGTGAAGGGGTCACAGTCCAAGAGTGACTGGGAGACTCTACACTTGGAAGAGGAAGGAAAGGCCCCCAAACAACGCAGGCAGCCTGTAGAAGCTGGAATGGACAAAGGAATGGATTCACTCTGGAGCTTCTGAGAGGAGCACACCCCTGATGACACCTCCGTTTTAGGGCTTCCTTTCTCCAAAATTGTAAGATAACAAATTTATGTTATTTTACTCCATGGAGTTCCTCGTCATTTGTTGCAGCAGGAATAGGAAGGTAATGCACCCGGCTTCATTAGTAAATGACACAGTCTACTGGTCTTGGGTTAAATGTATTGTTTAAAATGTCCCTAAACTCTTTAATTAGGCCACGTACCTCTTTCACGGGCTCTCAAAGCACCCTTTACATCACTAACTGATGTTGTAATTAGACAGGCCTTTGAGTAATTCTTTGACTAACGCATGCACCAGTGCGAGGCTCCTCAAGGCTGCGACCCGCGTGAATACTATAAGCCAAAGTCCCTGGCAAGGGGCTTGGCCCATGGCAGGTGCTCAGGTACCTGGACCTCACCTGTTGCCCCCCACAAGCAGGGTGCTTCCAAAATCAGGAGACCACTCGACTCACCTTTTTCAGCCCCCAACTCTGCACTGAGGGGCCCTTATTCTGCAGAGCTGGGTGCTTCTCCAACTCAGAGACATTTTTTGCTGGCATGTGATTACTTCCTCCCTTGGCTTTTTGCTCTCTCCTAAAAGATGGATATTCTGGCACCAGCTCCCCTCCCCTTCCATGCCTTATACACTTTATGCTGTGTGCTGAAGATCCACACAGTTCCACCTTTCCCATCACTAACGTGATCCTTAGCTGTGTGGGCTCTGCACTGGGCCATCTAGATGGGAATTTTAAATACAATCGTCAAAATAAAAAAGACACAGGTTTCAAACTGGTCTTTTCAATCTCATTGTTTCCCAGGTGAGCTGTCCTCTCCCAGTTCTCTGCAAATACAATGGGCTACTACATTTTGTTTCCAAATCACACTCTGCCTCAGACCCTTTTCCCTGAGGACAGGGCCGCTTGTGGCATTGATCCTGACCTGTATGGGCTGCATGGAGGAGCAGCAGCCCATCTGTCCCTTTGGAGGTGCCCGGTCTGTTCTCTACCTAAGTAAACTATGTGGGAGCCACTGGTGACGCTGGTCATCTAGAAAGGCAGTGTTTCCTCTGGAAGTGACAGTTCCTGCCCGTTCCTGGATCAGGCCTGGGGAACAAAGCCTTCCCTCTCTAGCCTGAAGAAGGTGCCATTACTCCTTTAGTTAATCAGCCTGCACACAACAGAATCTTTAGCGGCAAGCTTTCTCTGATCTAAAGAACAGAAGTCCTTTTGAGAGAGGGTCTTTGCTATGTAGTTCAGGCTGGCCTTGAATTCTCAAGAGATCCTTGTGCCTCAGCCTCCCCAGTGCTGGGATTACAGGAGTGCACCACCATGCTAGAAAAGACCTTAAAAGTTTTAAATGACTTTAAAATCACTTCTATTTTGTTTTCATTTGCTATTCTTATTAGTGAAGATATGGTCTAAGCCAATAAAACCACAACCGGCTAAGGCATCTTACCTAAATACTATTAAAAGGAGAGAGGCAGTATTGGCATCAAAAATAACAATCAATGTTCTAAAGAAAAGAATTTAGAGTTCCTAAAACATCTCGTTACTCTGTGCATCTAGCATCTATGGAATGCCTGGCCTCAATAAATGTTTCTTGGATGAATAAAAAAATGGAAGAATAAACTATTATGAACTTGATGCATTCAGACTTACCATCTCCAGCCAGGTATGGGGGCATTCACCCAACATTCCAGTCCTACAGGAGGCTGAGGCAGGAGGATCACAAGTTCGAACCCAGCCTGAGGAATTCAATGACTTAGCAAGACCTTGTCTCAAAAATTCACAAAGGCCTGGAGAGGTAGCTCAGTATGAAGGCCCTAGGTTCACTCTCCAGTACAAACAAGAAAAAAAGTTTCCACCTCCTTAAGCAGACAGCATGTTATTTTAAATGATCAGTAAAATAAAAACATAGCAGAACTAAAACCCAGATGAATGTAAGATGTTACAAATAAAGAAATATGAGAAAATGCAACCAAAATCAAGACCGGAAAATGCTTAAGATTACTCCTGAGTCAGAAGCAAACTAACAGCAGCTTTTCAACAATGTTAATGAATTTCAGTACCTATGAAGTAATCATTTTGTCTCATTTATAGCTTGTAAAGAAACAAAATAGTATTTTAGTCTCTGCATTCCAAAATCCACAAGCAGCCAGGTGCAGCAGCTTCTTGGGAAGCTGAGGCAGGAGGAACGCTTGAGCCCAGGAGTTCAAGATCAGCCTGGCTGACATAGGAAGAGCCTGCCTTTTCAAAAAATTAAATAAATCTAAAACTCAAATCTTCCCTATGAAGGATAGCAAAGTCAAAATGAAGGAGTAAAAAGTGTAAGAGTTATAAACAGGTCCCCTAAGGAGAATTCAAGAAACTCCATGGCTATGACAAGGGAGGGGTAAAAATACAAATTATCTTATGGGAGCATGAGAAAAAGGAAGCAAACCACAGTATTTCAGTGATTGCATGAAAAGCTAAATAACAGCAACTACTTACATCTCTGTAAGAAAAAGAGTATAGGATGGACAAAGCCCAAGCTTACCGGCATGGCTCAGGAGCGCTACTGATGCAGAAATAAGACACAAAAGAGAAAAACCACCCTCTATGTCATGAATTTTAAAATGGAAAAGTAACACAGTGTAAACACTTGGTTCCCTGAGCTAGCCTTTCTCGTGGTCATCATCTGCATAATTATTCTAGTCTATGGAGAAAAACAGCTCGCTGCAGTCATCCTGGGGATTGGAGTGAGCTCCAGGTTACTGAGCACAGAAGGACCTTTCTCCTTTGAGCTGCCTGCCCGACGTCAACAGTCACCAGAACACGCCAAGGCACCAGTCAGACCAGCGGCACAGCCACGACATCAACATACCTCCTGTCCTCCCACTGCCGATCTGCACAGCGGGCTGAAGGCTTCCTTCATTTTGCAGCAAGTGAGGCAAATGATAATAAATACTTGGCACTTGAAGGGCTTTTTTGCTTGTTAACTCTTTTAGTAGCTTTAGGGTCGTATCTGAAATGCAAAAGTCTAATTAATCCACAGGAACACCTCACCTGGTAGATGTTGCTGGTTTTACAAACAGTAAAGGTTGACAGACATCCTTATCTAATACACTTCTGTGAACCAGCCTCCTTTTCAGATGCAAAGGACCCCTGGCCTGATCCAGTCTCCCAGAGTCCTGGTGCTGAGGAGCAGAGGCAGGAGAAAGCACCAGGACAGGGTGTAGTAACAATTACCGCCACTGAGAAGCCTCAGTGCTCAGACCCACCAAAGAGACACCAGCATGCCGTGGCAGTGTGACAACACACTGACCGCCAGCACACTGCCCCCCCTGCATCACCCTCCCTTTATCTGTTCACACCTTACCAACATTTTCCATGAAAGATCTATTTCTGAAACACTGAATTACAACAGGACAAGTTGAAAATATTCAGTATAGATCATAGCCTTCAAGTAGTTTTGTTTGTTTTGTTATGTTTTTTTAGAGGAACCAATAAATCATAGAATGTGTCATGAAATAAAATGTAAGTTTAGTGAGGCGTGAGGTACACATAATCCCAGCTACTCGGGGCTGAGGCAGGAGAACTGAGTTCGTGGTCAGCCTTGGCAACCTAGCAAGACCCAGTCTCAAAATTAAAAGAAACAAAAACAGAAAAGGCTGGAGATGTAGCTCAGGGGCAGTGTTCACCGAGCTTGAGACCCCCAGGTTCAATCCACAGTACAACAATTTAAAAAAAAAATAAAATAAAATAAAAAAATGTTTTAAGTGGTGCTAGGACTGGGCAGTAGCTCAGTGGTAGAGCTCTTACCCAGCATGGGTGAGGTCCTGGGTTCAATTCCCAGCATAGGGTTCAGGGAACAAAACAACAAAATCCAAACACTTTGTTCAATTATACAATATCATTTTAAAATCTCATTAAAGAGGGAGTTTCCTGTTTCCTTTCAAACAAGGAACTATGAGTAAGGACTTGTACCCTGGACTCCTTTTAAAATATACCCAGCGTCTTTGAGACTAAAGCAGGAGGATCACACGTTTGAGGCCAGCCTGGCTACATAGTGACTTCAAGGCCAGCCTAGACTACATACCAAGATCTTGTCTCAGAAAACAAACAAGAAAATGATGAATGAACTTGCCAAAAAGTACAAATCACTGTCACACAAGAAACAAAACTTTAATTCTATGAGTAAAGAGATACAAATTTTAATATACCTTTTTCACCCACAAAATTAGCAAATTAAATAGCAACTACTGGTGATAATGCAATAAATGTCTCAGTCAGTGAGACAGCACCAAAAGCCCTAAAAAAATTCAGTCCTACTACTCAGTAATTTTCCTTTCAAGAATCTGGCTTTTGGGCTGGGGATTTAGCTCAGCGGCATAAGTGCCTGCCTGGCAAGCAGGCAGTCGTGAGTTCAATCCCCGGTACCGATAAAAATGAAAAAGACAAAAAAAAAAAAAAAAAAAGAATCTGGCTTTTGCCAGGCAGCGCAATATATACCTGCAATCCCAGCACTCTGGGAAGCTGAGGCAGCAGGGTTACAAGTTCGAGTCCAGCCTGGGAAAGTCAGATAGACCTTCTCTCAAAATAAAAAATTTAAAAGGCCAGGGGTTGTGCATGAACTCGACTGAGGAAGTCCTGGGTTCAATCCTTAGTATGGGGTGGGGAAAAGAAGCAGAATTTTACATATTAAACAAATGTTTGGTAGGCTTGTTTGTTTTGTTTTGTTTTTTAATCTTGCTCAAGGAATGGTACCATGAGATCTGAAAAGCAACAGTCATCAAAACACATAAGGGTTTTGAAAAAAGTCATCGCCTGATGACAATAAGAGCTAACAAAAATGTGACCAATTCATACACAAAGGTGTTTATCATAAGGTATAAGCTGAGAAGCAAAAGAACCCAGGGAAAACTCATTTGACTAAATGTAAAAAGAATGGTTATTATGGTATATGACTGTGTAATTACAACTACTAAAAATACCATTTTGAAGAGTAATGACACAGGAAACACGCATACAGTATCACTTCAAGAGTAAACATTTTCAAGAAAAAAATGCATGGAAAAAAAGGACTGGAAGGAAACAAAAAAAGTCAACAGAAATCACTTGGTGCCACACTTCTGGGTGAGTTTTAAAAATCTACATCATGTCATAATTTTAAATACTACTGCACATAATATAAATTATCATCGGCAGGGGAAATCAGGACTATAAAACCTTAAAAATCAGGTAATATAGTGGGGATCTCCAGATTAGAGAAATTCATGTTTTTGGATTGTTCTAGAATTTTAAAAATATATTAATCTACAAAGATCATGCAGATCTGAAAAAAATGCTTGCCTGATGTAGGGTTAATTACATTAATTTAATTATCACAATAAGATCACAGAAACAGAAGATCACTGGCATTCACCTTACTCTGCCAGATGTCCTCAGAGAAGGGGACCAGGACAGAACCCCCCAAACTATCCACTAAGTCACCATATATCTTCTCATTATAATTCCGATGGAGAAGCACTAATTACTCCAATTAGCAGACACTTCTCCGAAGGTCACCTAAGTCTACACACAAGGCATGACACAAATAAGGCCTCACTAAAAAGTAAAGCTTTAATTTCATTCTGAATATGATTTCATAAGGTGAGGGTTCTTCGCTACTGTCTGTGAAGTTTGTATCTCTGAAATTTACCTGGTAGTATTCTTTCAAAATCAAATTTAGCAACTAATAAAAATTATTTTATAATTGACCAGAACAGAAAGTTTGATGTGATGATTTTTAAAATGTGTTAACAAATGCTGGCTGATAATCACTCTGCATGACTTCCAAGTAACTCGCTCTACGTGGCTCCCGGAAAATCTAACTTTTATCACACATAAACAGTATCATTTGTACCTGAAAACTTATTCAGCGCATCCTTACTTCCGTTTGTTTCAGCACCTACACGCCGGAACTGCTGCACGATGGTGCTTAATTCAGACGAGCGCTGCGAGATTCTGTGTTCAGCGATTCGAAGGCGTTCTTTTAAAGCAAGAAATTCTCGTTGGTAAGCAATTAGTTTTTCTAGAGGCAAAAACAAAGAAAGTCCTTAATACGTTTTCAAATAAAAAATCCAAACAGAACTGTCAGAGTACACTCAGGAGGCTGAGGCAGGAGGACTGCTGTGCGTTCAAGGCCAATCTGGGGTACATAGCAAGTCCCTGTCTCAGAAAACCCTGTTAAGAGTAAAAATCTTCATTGAAACAGTAAAATTTATTAAAATTAACACTTCAAACATAATACTAATTTTTCTCCAAACAACTCTAAGGACCATATGTGTGTCAACCAGACGAGGCTAAGTTGGTAACACACTGACGGAATGTGTGTAACAACCTTAAAGCACAACCAGTTTCCACAGGCTCAAGGCTTCCTCTCTGCTTCCGATTCTGCAGAGATTTCTCTGGGCCAGATGCTGGCCAAAGGCCTGATTCCTAAGAACTCCATGAGTAGGTGTACCACAAGCCTACTGATGGCTGTTTTAAAAATCGGAGACAATCACAGGTCGAGAAAAACCTGGGTGCCCTCAAGCACTCAGAGCCAGCCCAACGCTGAGAAGCCCGTGGGCAGACACAGGCACAGCCACCAGGGAGGTGACGGGAAGGCAACTGTTGGTTCCCTGGCTCTTGGGGATGCGTGGGGCATGAGGGTGGCTGGGCAGCTGGGCTGGTGGCCTCCTCCAGCGGAGAGAAGTGGGGTTTTCAACTTCGCCACTAAACCACAGCCGTCAGCTACCACTGGTACACTACAACCTAAGCAGATTTTTTTTTTTAACTAAATAAGGAAATAAATTTAACACATCATCCCTGCTTTCTTCAAGGGTAAACTCAGTAAGAAACACACTTACAGAATCCAAGTCTGCACACTTATTAAAGCTGGTCCCAAGAACAAGGTCACTGGGTTACACTGAGATACTCTGCCCTGTCCTAGGCTGAGGGATACACAGTAAGTACTTGTGAGGGACTCTGTAGCCCGGAGAAGTGTCCTCCTGGCTCCAATGCCCTGCTCCTGCTCATCTACACTGAACAACAAAAGCCACACCCAAGTCACCGCCTTCCCCTAGGCTTCAGGAGGTGGGAACCAGAAGAGGGGGGATGGGATGGGCTCATGGGGGGACCTCGGGACTGGCCATGCTCTAACACCACCCCGGGCAGTGTGGTGTGGTGCAGTTCACTACTCTACGTGCATGATCGTGTCGTCAGGTGGTGAGAAAGTAAGACGTTACTGTTCACAAACAAAACTATAAAGAACCAGCACCACGCGCTGTAGTCCCAGATTCTCGGCAGGCGGCTAAAACAGGGGGATCCCTTGAGCCCCAAAGTTCCCCAGGAGACAGCCATAGAATAAGAACCCAGCTTAGGGGAAAAAAAATGAATTAAAGGAAAACTTAATCTTGCAACAAGATTAAATTGCTAAACAATAAACTTTTCCGGTACCTTTAGAAAGAAATAACATGGAGAGAGGAATGCTTGATGTGTGAATCAGAAATTCATCCAGAGTAACATTTTTAAAGTACTAAGGGATGATTTAAATACTGACAGTAATGGATTATAACCTGTTGAATAAAATAAGGATCTATGAGTCTGTATCCATAAAGAAATACCAACTAACAGACAAGGGGAAGTGATTCTTATAGCAGGATGCCACCTAATACACAGAAGAATGACAGGAAATTGTCATTCTGTGATCATCATAGCCAGCACCAAATTCTGACACTGACCTTAGGAGGTGAAAGTCTGACAACAAACAGGATATGTAATCTCAGAGAGGCTCCCCAAGGTGCCCTTTTCTATATAAAGCGGACAACACTCACCTCACATTGGAGAAAGCTGGTGGGGAGGTCGTCTGAGCAGAGGGCCCCGAGTTCAGAGATCAGGCACCCAAGGCAGGGTGCAGAGAACTCGGCTAGCTGTGCGGTGCTCCTGCCACAAGTGCATCATCTCGGGGGATCCCGAGTGATTCTCACCTGGAGGGAGCAGCGGATGCATCCACACGGGGATGACACACCAACACGTGGTCATGGAAGACAAAGGCTGAGGAAATGCCCGGGACAACACAGCTAACTGCAGACAGACAGCCAGGAGTCCTGGACTCAACTCCGACCAGAAAAAGCAGGGAAAGAAGCGATAGCAAGAACACTGCTGGATAAATTATGGAATCTACACTGGAGAACTGATCCCGCCGTGCTGAAGTTACATTTCCTGAACCTGACGCTGTACTGTGGTAACCAGAGAAGGCCCTGGCTTTGAAAACTGACGCTGAATTACATAGGGGGTAAAGAGGCAGGTTCGCTGCAGTTCACCCTCAAAGGCTTCGGAAAAGGAAACAGAACACCTAGATTTGGAAAGATGATACAGGCAGTGTTCACAACAGGTGAGGTGGGTACCGAAGTCATCTGCACGATCCTTACAACACTTCTGATTTTTTTTTTAAGGAAAACTTTGAAAAAGGTTAGGCAGGTCTGGATGCAGACACAGGCTCGGGCTTTCAGCAGCTTTGGGTGGGAGGGAGTGATGTAGTCTGAGGTCCATCTCTGCGCCTCCCTCCATTTCTCCGTGCATGTGAGACAGACAGACACATACACACACACACACACACACACACACACACACACACACACACAGAGAGAGAGAGAGAGAGAGAGAGAGAGAGAGAGAGAGAGAGAGAGAGAGTGAGTGGTACTGGGGATTGAACCCAGCGCCTTCTGCCTAAGCTACATCCCTGGTCTTTTCAGATTTTTATTTGAAATAGTGTCATGCTAAATTGAACTCCTTTCAGATTTTTATCTGAAATAGAGTCAGGCTGGGGTTGAATTTGTGATCCTCCTGCCTCAGCTAAGCCTGGTTCAACACTTTTTTTTCTTAAACCAACCACCTTTAAGGAGTAATTTCACAAAAAGGAAGAAGCACTAGTGCCTGCAGAGGAAATCCCCGATTCCAAAACACTCCAGGGCTGTGTGGGAAACTCAGCATACTTCCAGAAAGTCATGTACCGGAGATGGCTGGAGCCCAGGATTACAGGTGAGGTCACACACACTCTTTAAGTCCACAACCCATGGCTGTGAAAACACTCCAGACAGCCCCCTGCCCACTCAGCTCCCTTTCCACCCCAGTCTCCACACTGAGAGCTTCCACAGCTCAGGCCACACTCACCCTCCACAATCTTCCCCAGGATGCCAGATGCCTCTCTTGACGACAACAGAGTGCCAGTACCCTGCAGTTTCACTTAAACTTCAATGTCGCACACAGAGAGATCCTCAAAAGCAAGGGTGAGTTTGAGGAGCCCTTGCTTTCGATGTCAGTAGTGAAAGGCCAACCGCTGCCTCCACCATCCCTGTCGGCTTCTCTGGGATGCCACAGGAGTTTGGTCCTCTGTCCAGGGGAGGCTCCGGGGAGGACAGTGCCCAGCTGGCCTCTGTACCCAGCGCACCTCGCCCAGACACAGCTTTGAGGAGCCAGCTCTGAATAAACCTGATCCCTTCCCGTAACTCCTGCCCCTTGAATTTTGCTTCTTTCAAGTGACAAGTGACCTGGACATTTGATTCCAGAAACATCTGGGGATCGCTGCGGGAAACAAAGAGATTTCCATGCCACCTCTTCCTGGGACCCACCAGAAGTCTTTATTGTTTTGTTTTTATATTATAAATGGAACCTGTTAATTGTGGAAAATGATATATCCAGATTATACAAAGTGCATATTCTGTCTTGAGAGGCTAAGGTTTTTTTAAAGGTACAAAAATTTCAAAATATCAAATTGATGTTTGATACTATTTTTGCAAAAATAGCAATTTCATATGGTTCGACAATTTAAATAACAGCTCTGGCTGGACAAGTTAAAAATTGATCAATAAATAATATTAAGACAAAAGCACTAATGACATCCACTGTGCAGTACATCAAAACAAAGTACAAAAACCTCAAAGAAAAAAATAGAAAACCTCTTTTTTCAAACAATGGCATCTTTTTATTAGCAAGATATGAAGGAAACTACTGAATTCTATGTGCTAACATTAAAATGAAACCCACATTTAGTGTTTTAATTTTTAAAATTTTAGGATAAAACAATAAAATTCTGACACTGAAGAAAATGTCCATCAGCCAGGCATCTAGTTCATCCCTCCTGTGACACCTCACTGAGCTCATTCCCTCAGAGCAGCACTGGGTAAAAAAGACACAGCTGAAGAACCCTTTGGCACTAAGAGCCCAAAATCCAGCAAGCTGCATTTCTTAGGAATGTTATAGCCCTGAGAAAATGGTTTATTTCACTCTTTTTAATTTTACATTGATCATTTTTATACAACCAACTTAAAATGGAATTTCACCTGGATGAACCTGGGGGTGATTTCCCAATCATGAGCCTCTAAAGCAAAGGAAAAACACAAGAACTGAGTTCAGAAGGACATTCAGAAGAACTAAAGCCTAGAAAGGCTAAAAGACAACATGTGTGGGTCCAGATGAAAGCTGCCTGAAAGAACAGGATCTGGACAGACAGACCAACATCACGGACCAGGGGTCTTTTTCCCCAGCCTCAATCCCAGCACTCCAGAGACCGAAGGAGGAACATAAATTGAAATCCAGCCTAGACAGTTTACTAATTTAATGAGACCTTTTTAAAATTTTAATGAAAAAGGGACGCAGGGTAGGGATGTACTTCAAGCCCTGGGTTCAAGCCCAGTATCATGAAAAAAAATTAAAGCCAGCTGACGTCACCTTGCCCTAGTCTTGTCCTACCTAGTCTGAGCTGATTTTCTACCCTAGACAGAGCGTATTCAGATCCGCTAGCTTCAAAGCTGGACTCGGCTTCAGTATAATCCCATCTGCATGCTAACGACACCCCAGCGATCACAATGGCAGTAACTACTGTGACAACGACCAGAAAGCCCAGTAAAGGAACAAGCCCAGGTGGCCCCTGAAAACTCTTCACTTATTCCCACATCAACAACCCTCCCCTTCATTTATTTACTCCATCCGCATTTCTTTGCCCCTATATCTAGAACGAACCTGTTAACCCCCAAGGAACTGGGAAAC